TTAAATCTAAATCTTTGGGCCTTGGTCACCCATCTTTCTATTCGACTTGACATTTTATGCAATTCCTTTCGAGCAAATATCCTAATTAATGGTTTATGATCAGTTTCAATCGTGAATTCGGGTGAACCATCGAGATATAATCAGTGATGTTCCATTCCCCAAACGATTGCCAAGGCTTCTCGTTCAATCTGACTGTATCGGCTTTCCGTTTCGGAAAGTGCTCTACTCGCACAGCTGATTAATGCATCTCCCTGTCGCAAGATCGCACCGAGGCCGACCGGACTTGCGTCAACAGTCAGTGTAGTTTGTTTATATCAAAATAGCCAAGCGTTATATCTGAACAAATTGCCTTTTTAATGGCCATAAACGAGTCTTCTTGCCTTTTACCCCAAACAAATGGAACCCCAATTTTCACGAGTGATCTAATTGGTTCGGACAACGTACTAAATTGCGGCACCATCATGGATGGGAGACCCAACATTCCCAGAAACGATCTGACCTCCGAAACATTTTCTGGTCGTTTTAGCTCACGAATACATTTTATACGATTATCATCACAACGCATGCCGTTTTTGTCGAACACGAAGCCAAAAAATACTATCTCTGGGACTGAAAACTTGCATTTAGGTAAACCCAACGTTAGTCCATTATCGGACAATCTAGACAAACAATTATTTAGAGCCCTATCATGCAACTCCTGGTTTTCACCATAAATAATAATATCATCGGAAATACTTTGAACCCCTGTCAAGCCTTGTAAAACCATAGACATTTCATTTTGACAAATTTCTGCTGCTGCGTTTATGCCGAAAGGGAGGCGTTTATAACGTCTTAAACCCACATGTGTACTAATTGTAGTGATATTCCTGGACTCTTCGTCCAATTCAAATTGTAAATAGTGTTTATTAGCGTCAAGTTTGCTGAATACAGTAGATCCATTCAGTTTTGTTCGGAGTTCTTGGACAGTGGATGTCACATGCCTTTCGCGTTGTATTGCCAAATTAGGAGCCCTGTAGTCTCCACATATCCGTACATTATCAGTATCAAGCTTTGGAACGACAACAATGGGACTTACCCATGGCGTTGGACCATCCACTTTTTCCAAAATATCCGCTTCTTCCAAAGAACGCAGTTCTCTTTCAACTTTCTTTGGTAAATGATATGGAATGCGTCTATGATTTTGACTTACAGGCTTGACATTTGTGTCCACATGTAATTTAATTCTCTTAGCAGAATATTTTCCCATCCCAGTGAAAACATTTGTATATTTCTGTACAATTGCTTGCACCGAGACCGGAACACCTGGAATATTCAAATCATTAGTATTCAATGTAGATTCAATATTATGAAATACAGATGTGCGAGAACAACCTTGCTCGGAATTCGGGGAGATATTTTTTTCGACAAATGATACAGTATTAGAGTGGCTAGGATTGATCTGTATAAACCCAAGTTGACTTGCGGAAGGGTATCCTAAAATAGACGAGTCCCCAGAATCAACGACCATGAATTTCAGATTTTCAAATCGCCCACCCAAGTCAACATTAGCGTTAACAGTACCAGTACCTAGCACATCTACTTTCTGTTGATTTTCATATGTAAATACATTTTTGTTGGTTGGCACAAGGGTTACAGTTTAACTTATAATTTCGAAATCATTTCTGTTTAAAACATTACAAGATGCACCGGAGTCCAACATAAATTCAAGGGAATTATCATTCACATTCAACTTAATAAATGGTAGCATCCCACCATATTTATCATGGACATTAAGCAAATAATCATCATCACTAGAATTATCTGATACACTTTGATCTGTACGGAGTGCTTAATTTCTGAATTATGTTTGTTTACCTTAAACGAATTACGATCAGTTCAGTTCTGTTCTTGCAAACTCGTGATTTGGGACAGCAAACAGCAAAGTGCCCGAGTTCATGACAATAATTGCACTGCTTACCCTTCGCTGGACAATGGCCATCATGTGGATAATTACGCCCACAGTAGAAACATCGACGCTCCAAATTTGTAGACCTTGCGTCAGAACGGTGATTCTTTTGGTTGGGCCAGTTATGCTGTACACGGCAAACAGTGGCTTGATCTTGAGATACGGTATTCACGGAGTCATGTCGTACATTTTCAATGCCATGTGCTTCACGTTCGGAAATTTCAAGGGTTCTGGCTAACGTTATTATTTTATCAAGGGCCATATCTTCCTGAAGGGCACGTCGGCGAATTCTGTTACTCTTCCCACCTTGAATAATTTGATGTTTGATTTCAGCTTCCTTCGCTGTCACGTCTTCAATCCCACAGTTATTGACAAGTTTGCGTAGACGTGTAACAAACTGATCAATTGTTTTGTGGGCATAATGAAATGTTCGCCGAAATTGAAAAATCTCATACTCAGTATTTTTCTTAGGGTGGAAATAGTCCTCTAAAGCTTTCACAATCTTTTTGTAAATGTCATCATATTCTGGTTCTGTTGGCATAGTCAGTGTTTCCGAGACTTCAAACAAGTCTTCTCCTCCCCTGTCTAATAGCATAGCCCTTTTTTGTACTGGGTCTTCAATTTTCCACGCGACACAGCTATTTTCAAATCGAGAGATCCATCGTGATGCAAGGGTGCTAGGGTCACCGTAGTCATCAAAGGGAAATATTTGAGCGAGCATGAAACTGCCTTGCATTGCCATAATGAAATTCAGATGGTCTATTCAGTGTCAAAATAAGGAGACAAGTATGACTTTTTATGCACGGCCTTTCTATTGCAAAATGTCTCACCGTGTGGTCTTTTCTGGTTCATAGCATGACTATTACAGTAATTCTATGCACAATAGGTTCACAAATCCTCGTCGCCAATGTAATACTTCATGGTTGCAGACCAGAGAAAGAGACAAGCACTCAGCAATCACCAATACAGACTAACTTTATTGTCAATGTACAGCCTTTATATAAAGAGAGTTACATAACTAACCAGATGGTCAAATACAGGGCAGTTGTAATTTTGTATACACATCTATTAAAGCTTATTGACATGCAAATTACTACAACAATGCCTAGGCTATATGGAGTATCTTGTAAATGTCACAATGCCTAGGCTACATGCAGCACTTTGTGAATGTCACAATGCCTAGTCTACATGCAGCACTTTGTAAATGTCACAATGCCTAGGCTACATGCAGCACTTTGCAAATGTCACAATGCCTAGGCTACATGCAGCATTTTGCAAATGTCACAATGCCTAGGCTATATGGAACACTTTGTAAATGTCACAATGCCTAGGCTATATGAAACACTTTGTAAATGTCACAATGCCTAGGCTATATGGAACACTTTGTAAATGTCACAATGCCTAGGCTATATGTAGTATCTTGTAAATGTCACAATGCCTAGGCTACATGCAGCACTTTGTAAATGTCACAATGCCTAGGCTACATGGAGTATCTTGTAATTGTCACAATGCCTAGGCTATATGGAACACTTTGTAAATGTCACAATGCCTAGGCTATATGGAGTATCTTGTAAATGTCACAATGCCTAGGCTACATGGAGTATCTTGTAAATGTCACAATGCCTAGGCTATATGGAACACTTTGTAAATGTCACAATGCCTAGGCTATATGGAACACTTTGTAAATGTCACAATGCCTAGGCTATATGGAGTATCTTGTAAATGTCACAATGCCTAGGCTACATGCACCACTTTGTAAATGTCACAATGCCTAGGCTACATGCAGCACTTTGTAAATGCCACAATGCCTAGGCTACATGCAGCACTTTGTAAATGTCACAATGCCTAGGCTACATGCAGCACTTTGTAAATGTCACAATGCCTAGGCTATATGGAACACTTTGTAAATGTCACATTGCCGAGA